TCTGTTCGAAAATTTTTGAATCACTGCTTCAGTAATTTCAGTAAGAGACTGTTGTTCACAAATCAGTACTTCGTAATCAGTCGAGCGTGGGGTTCACGGTTTCCTAGTTATAATTTCGCAAGTTATCATGGGTTATCATGGCTTATTCTCATGCTGTGTTACTGTATTATTAGCAGCGGATTTCTTTACAATGATGTGACTACAACGAAGTATGTTAGTATGTTAGAAGATTATATTTATTTGTGTATTGTGAACAAAAATAATATAGTTGCAGAGTTTTGATCACCAGCGTGCACGAGAGTGAATAATACAAACGCAAATGACTTATTTGTCTAGTGTCTACAGTGTTCATACTTCAGACCGTACAGAATTTATTGGGGCCTGTTTTAGATCTTAATCAGACATTAGTCAGATTTTGATAAAACGGTTTTAAAAACTTTGTGAACCTTGCGTAATTTGTCCATTTCAATTCATCAGTGTCGTAAAGTTTATTTATAGAACTACTATTAATAAACTTCAAAGATTCAGTAATTTATGTTTGTTTAAAAGACTGTATTTTTATGAATAAAGGTGAGCGACATGCTATTATTATAAGGCGGATGATGATTAAAAACTTGACAAATCTGAAATATTAGTAGGGTGGAACTTTAGTCGGAGGTTGGAGGTGATGCTTAAATAAAATTAGGCACACGGCTTCGTAATGTCGAAACACCAAATGTCGAATAACTGAACAGTAAGGCAGTCAGCAAATGCTGGACTTTGATATAACCATTAGTCTATTTTCTTCGTTTCAGGTTTTTAATTTAATCACTTCCTTTAACACGAGGATCTAGGCTATGTTGCACGTTTAACACGTACCAATCTTCTGAACAATAATGATGAAATCTTTGCTCTTTGACTTGAGTTCTGAATATATTGTCGTGAGATGATTAGACTAATTGAGGAAAGCTCCGAACAGTGCTACCAGCGAAAATGTTGAATCTAATAGGTCACATACATGTTCAGCAAGTCTAAGAAGGTCTTCCGTGTTATGAACCAATTAAACATCTTTATGCCAATATAAGTGAAGTTCGTGCCGCAAGGAAGGCTATTCATGGCTTCTAAAAGAATGCATCGACTAAATTTGTCCTGAATCCCTAAAGTGGGATATAAAACAGGTAGTTTTACTCCTAGATCACAACTCTTATCAGTTTTCACGCTCTTTTTCTACTGGTAATGCATTTAAATAATTAGGGTACACGGATACCAAATCTCCTCCACTTTCATTGCCAGCACGGAAACAGATTGTTTTAGGATCTAGATATTCAATTCGTCTACGATAACCCTCTGTGAAAGTCTAAGGAACTTGCGTTGCCCTATTTTGCAACTTAAACTGCTGTAATAATATCACTGCTATATAATCTAATTTGGAGATAAATCGGTTTAATTCCTTTACCCGTAGAGAGAGAGCTCGATATGCACTGGCTGTGTTTGCTGAATCTGCACACTGCACAAGACGCAATTTTACACGCCCGATCATGGATCATTTCGTGACGTGGTTATATGCATTACAGCATTTGCATGCTCCGTGATTTGCAGCATCACATTTCTCTGCGTGTTTCGGTGATTTTGTCTTATATTAACAGACCATTATGTAATCCTTCCTTAATCTCCAAAAACCTATGCTTTACCTTATGTCACGTCAGTGGCATTCTCTTGCCTGATGGGATATGTTGTAATATACCTTCCTTTCTGCACACTTTCGACCATGATTTATTGCTGAATTAATAGATATAGACTAGTGGTAACATGATATTCCACGACTTCGGATGACTGATCGATAATAATTCCGTTTCCGTCGTTCTACTGCAAAAGGGCATCCTAGCCCTGACCCCTTCGTAATTTACCGTTTCAGTTGGTCCCAACTCTTACAGTCTTAGATCGTTTTCAATTGATACCTAGCGTCCCAGCACTAACGACAGGTTCAATTCAGATCCTGATACCTAGGAATGTTATAAATTTGTCATGTCATGCAGTTGACAGTAGAAAATGTTTTAGTGTACTTTTTGACATTTTAACTCGTAGTATTAATACTATTTGTAGCTTTATTCGCAGTATTACTCGTGTTCTTAATACAATTTTTAGGGATGGTCTGTATCCACGCGTTCACGCTCACATTGTAAGTAAAATGCTGCTCATTCTTTGAAATTCAGTTAATCGTAATTAATACTTTGAAATTCAGTACTACTTTGAAATTCAGGTAATCGTAATTAGTCTTTTTCCTTTAATTTGATTCTCTTGCATTGTTATCAGCCGAGACAAAAGGTAGCTGAAATATAGGAGTCGTGTCTGGAATGAAAAACGAACTAAATCGAATTTTGCATTTAATCCATGATCATGGCCAGCAAAATTTTGGCAAGAAATACGCTGTAAATATTTCCGTGCTTCTTCTAAGCTCAACGATCCCGCACGATACTTTGACTATTCATAATAACAGTAGACAAAAAATTGGTTTCCAATTCCATGACAATCTGGTCATTGCTAATTTATGGATTTTAATTTTTGGAAGACCTTTTTTGTGAAACATAAAAGACACCGTCTTTTGTGCAATAAGAAAATTAGATTTAAAAAAATTACAATTAGATTTCCATGTCTTTCAGTCTACTTGAATTAACCTGCAATTTTAGAAATCTTACTATTTTTACAATTAATTTTATAACCATGGAATGTATCCGCTCTGGACCCAATGAAATCATTGTTCAATCAATGATCACCTCGCACTCAAGATTTGAAGAAAACAAAGATCTTTCTCTGTACTTGAAATAACCCTATTAGTATTATTCCAATTTTAGAAAAGTTATTGGCCATTTGTCAAAAACAGACGAAAACACCCTTTCCGCAAGAAGAAAAATATATTTCCATGTCTTTCAATCTACTTATACTAAACCTGCAATTCTTGGAATCATAATATTTTCATAACTTTTAAAAACATGGTATTTACCCGCTCTGTGCCCAATGACGACATTGTTCAATCATTGTTCACATCACGCAGTCACGCTCCAGATTTTAAGTAAACAAAGATCTTTCTCTGTACTGGAAATAAACCCGGTTTTCCTTGGAAATTCTGATTCCTATCCCTATAATTCTACCTAGTTTAATCACCTCACAATTCCTAATAATATGACGGCTAACCCCTAACTCCCGATACTGCCCTGCTAAATCTATCCTCATCAGGTTGGCATGCCTGGTGGTGTTGGTTGTATCGGACGAGTCTTGTACTGATCTCTACCCGAGAAGCTGCAAGAAATGGGAGAAAAAGGGCTTCTGTGAAATTGAGAAACACAGACCAGCATTGCGGGAGAAGTGCAGGAGGACCTGCAACTTTTGTGCAGGTGATATTTCTATTAGCGAGCAAGATTATGCCTGGCGAGCTTTATATTAGCACGGCGCTTTTCTATTTTCTTCTCAAATCTTTAAAAAATGATAACGATGTTAATAAGGCGACGATGGTAAGACGTAAAAACATTTTCAGTTTCCAGATGTTTTGATCTGGTGAAGACAGATAAGTGTGAAGAGTGGCTGAACCTGGGTCTCTGTGAGGAGGGAAAAGTTAGTGAGATGTGTTCCATGACTTGCGGATCTTGCAGTTCTGACGATGACCAAAGTAAGTGGAAATTATCAATATATAAACTGCCAGTATATCCGGAAAAGAAACCTTTTCAGGTTACAAGCCCCTGTCATAGAACTTTCTATGTCGAAATAAAATATTTTACCCAGTCTTCCGGGTTTCGAATCCATGGAATTTTAGGGAACCCCCTTTATCTGAAGCCAACTCGAGCCAAGGGTACCTATTTTTAGTCAGTGACTATTACAAGGACTGATTTATGTTTCATACAAGTCTGCACAGTGCACACCCCGCTTGCAGATTCGATAATACATTACTTTATTCGATTATTGTAACCCCAAATTTCGTTACAGAGTGCCCGACCCTATCGATCAGAAACGGTCGTTTTCCTTCTATAGAAGAAGCATATTCAAAGCAGAAGGGCAACTTACGTGTTGATATAAGTGGAGTAATCACAGCCGGTGAGAACAAATTCCCTCTGAAATAATCGTGAACTCTGATTAGAAAGTTTATTCTTTCGTCGTTCCATCGTCTAAAACTTATCCGTTTCTTTAAAAATAGAAAAACATGAGGACTCTTGACTCAATGTGATTTAATTGTGTATTGTAGAACTTAGATATCCGCATAGATTAACTGAGTCAAAAAGTTGGTGTTACATTGACAGTCATAAGACTTGCCGTAAGAAAGTTCTCATCATGAAACTCACGCAGGAACTGAGGTTCGGATAGAATGTGACACCGGATTCCAACTGATGGGAAGTAGCCAAGTTCAGTGCCTTGAGAACGGCCAATATGACGGAGAACTCGGTGTTTGCATCAGGGATAGTGCGTGAAACTTAATTTCACTTTGATTTGTTCCGTTTTCATATGATTGCCCACTTTATTGGTTACTGTTTCGATTTTATATAGTTGGAACTGAGCCAGCCCTTCAGAGGGCATCTCAGTTCTCACGTCAGATTGAAATTTCATATTCCGATTTCGTCCCGGGTTCTCATGGCACTCATCGATCATTCACTTATCAGTAATGTATCTGAAATATCCTTGCAAGTTTCAAATACCGTTAATATTACAGACGAATGCGAAGTGCCTACCTACGGACATACATACAACAAGTTGGACAGATACTTCCTTGTCAGTGAGCCTATGGGTCTTGAAAAGAACACAGTTTCTCCTGGAACCTACGCTATCTTGGTAATTTGTTACCTTCGATCCTATCAGTAATACATTATACAATATACATTATACAACCATCTCAAGCATGCTTCTATCATCAGAGGAATTTGTTTCCCTTTGAATCAATCAAACTAGATGAATTGTTGTAAATACTGAGATCAAACTATCAATCTACAGGCTATCGTCAAACATGTTGCAAGGCGTCATCTTCAGTGACATAAGCCCTCAAATTATTTGTTATATAGTAGTGTTGAAAGTATTAAAAGCTTCTATCATTTCATATTTTATTTGAGGAATATCTTATTACAGTTGAAAATATATGTAACCTGTCGATAACTGCTTATTTGGATATATTGGTTTCTTTACCCATCGGTTATACTTATAGTTAAAGATATCCATATTTATTGATTGACCGTATAATTTAAAGTATGTTTTATTAATTTAAATTATAATTTAATAGGTTTGTCAGAACGGACGAAAACAACAGAGTTTCTGCTCAAGTTTTGGAACCTGGTTGCCTCCTATCAGGGACTGTGACGACGAATCCGCGGAATGGAGTCGTTGGTACGAGCTGAATACCATCAGCAAGCGTCATCACCTGGCCGGATCTATGGATATGGAGTAGGTAACAATACAGGATACACCGGAGTAGTTATGCCTATGGTCGGATGGAGTAGGGAACACAATACAGGATACACCGGAGTAGTGATGGATATGGAGTAGGGAACACAATACAGGATACACCGGAGTAGTGATGGTCGGATGGAGTAGGTAACAACTCCATTTTCTGAGCGATCTGAATTTCTTTCTATGCCTCTAATAGTGCTAAGCGATCTTTGCTTAAAAGTGCTACATAACCCAAATAACTATAAGCAAAGAAGTGTAAAAATTAAACCTCGAATATCCAGTTGATCAAAGAATGAGAAATAAAGATATTATTAAGCGTAATGTATAAGTGGGAAGTTATAAAATTAAAACGTCATTCATTAATTAAACAACTCTTCAATCTAGTTTATTTAGCAAATTCCCAATAATAAATTGTAGTGACTGACTATCAGACATAGATGATAATCTAGAGATTTATTAGTGCTTTTTTATTATTCCTGTTTTTACTTTGTTATATCTTCTAAGTCGACCCCTTGCAATTATTGATACGATGATTCTTGACTTGAAAGTTGATGATACATTTAAATTTGAGCCATTATTGTTATTTAAATCTTGCGTTAAATATTTCTATTGTAAAATATGGGATTCTATCTGATGACATTGATGTATGATTATGCTATATTTTCTTTTTTATTCTATGAATGTTACTGTTTCAATCTCAATGTGAATATGAGACGCCTAATGCACCGGAAAAAGATTTGCTATGAAAATTGCAAAGGCAGCTCGTGAGGGTGTCCGGCCGGTGACACCCTAAAAGTACGACCTGATCACCTGAAGTCTGAAGAAAAGAAAATTGTTTGCTTTAGTGAATTAGTGGTGAGGCTCTTTTCTTTACTTTTCAGTATTTTGCTTGTTAAACTTACAGTCCGTATCTAGTTTTGCTTTACTTAGTTATTTTAGTATTGTACATAGTTGAATGCTTAATTTCATAAGCTTTAAACACGCAAATTTGCCTAAATAGAGAAGCTGCAAAAATTAAAATGTCTATGCCGTTTTAAGCGGGTTTCAGCATCAAAAGTAGCCGGCTTCACCTATCGGTGGGTACCTCCGGTGGATGAGGGGCCTGCCCCCGAACCCCCTGGGTTCATCAACCAGACGCCTAGTAAACACTTAGCCTGGTCTCACAAGCACATTAACACTAATTTCAGGGCTTTTCTAGCTAAATGTACTTCAGTACAACTGCAAAGTACATATGACCAGATTATAATAAGGTTTTAAATTTAATATCGTATTTTTAATTTGAGCTACTAGTACAGTCAAATCCGTCCTAATTTAAGCCTTTGTCGGACAAAATTCGCAACAAAGCGATTTTAACGGGATATGGTCGGGACAGGTCCCAGGAATCATTCCAGAGAGTTCCCAAAAAAAAAGACTTCAGGAAAATCCACAATTACCACTTTTCTACCACCTTTTTACCACTTTGGTTTTCCGCAAATAAGTCACGTTCTAAATATCCTAGAAGATTCTAGTTTAAAGCAGTGTGTTTAGAAAACAAAGAAGAACAACTTTCTCTTTAACAACTTTTTCAAAAATAAATTATTTAATTAATTAATTAAATAATTAAAAAAGTTTTAAATATTTCAAAAATATATTTTGATAAAAATGTTCACAATTACATTCCACGTATAATGAACTAATTTTTATAAAACTTTTGAAAATTTTCACTTTTAGTGATATATTTCAATATTTTGGACTTGTAAAATTTTCGAAATTTGTAAAGAATAACCACTATTTACCACTTTTTACCACATTGAATCTCCGCTAATAAAACAACTTCTGAATCTTGTAGAAGGTTCTAGATTGAACCAGTGTGTTCAAAACATAAAAGAGAACATCTTTTTATCTGACAACCTTTGGATAAGATAATCAATTGATTAATTAATTAAATATTAATTAAATTTTTAAAAATTTAAAAATATAATTTTTATCAAAAATATTTGCCGTGACGTGAAACGTAAAATGAATTTACTTGAATAACAGAACATACATCGTCACATAGATTAGAATTAGATAACAGATAAAAAGAGATCCAGATAAATGGAATAAACGGTAAAATATCCAAATTTGTACGATACTATTATAGCTAATAACTATTAAATATTAACACATCATATCTCTCGACTTAGTATTGTGCTTAACTATATTGTTAAAATGGTTGTTTAAACAAGACTTAGCAATTTTTCAATCGCTAACTAGAGATCTTATCTCTGATTGTCAGTTTATCGTTTGGAAGTGTAAGCTTCAGCTTTTACTTTATGTTGACTTCTCTTCGTAAAAAAGTTAAATATGCTAAAAATCTAGGACTGAAATCACACCAAATAGTTGACATTTTGAAAACAGAAGAACACATCGTGTGCCTGATACTCTACGCGTGCAGATTCTATGTAAGTAGCTGTCAACTAATATACAATAATAGTAATATGTTTTTACCGTTTTACTTTTCAGTTTTATGTCAACCGAGACTCGAGAGCGCAACTAGAGGCATTCTCAACCAATACTATGTTTTAATTTACCAGGCAAATGAGGAGTTAATTCCGGTGAATAGGAGTTAAACCCAGGTACTATTTTAACTATTTATCTTTTAAGTAAGTACACTAACTTTTAAACTATGCCCAGCAAGTTTGAAACGGATGGTTACAGTCCTATTCATTATCCTGAGGCCTCTCATACTCTGTATAAATAAACAAACCATCGTAACACAGGTTGGATCAACATTCAACAACCCCTGGTCACTGAACGAAATTAAACGGCAGTACAACGGCCTGACTGATTCTGCTCAGAGTGACGTCTATTGTGTGTTATTGCAGACAGTGATCATAGACCAGTTCCAAAGATTCATATCGGCCAATGAAGATGAGTCCGTTGTAACTGAGTCAGAACCATCTTTGGTTCACGAACACAGTTTAAACAAATATCCATTCTGTAACGTAGAGATCGCACCAAATGATAAATCCTCAAATCGGATTACAGACAGGGTAAGTTATTGTGTGGGGGAGGGGGGAGGTGGTATAGTACACATACGTTAGGCTCTTACTAATTCGCTCGCCCAAAAATTTCTCCGACGTGACTTTTATTATTATTATTTCTCCGTAGCTTAGTGCACTAGATTCCCACTATCGGAATCGTTCTGAATAGCCGATCCTTACCAACTCCGTGGATCCGACTGGTGGTGTCTGATCCAGTGAATGAGTGGCATAGAAATCGTGCAGAAAGCCCAATTACGGTATCCTAACATCCTGTCACGTGATTATCGATTGGGTAATCATTGATAACCCAATCAGTTTCTCGAACGAGATAAACAAATTGCTTGATAACTTCGTCATTTTCAATCCGTTTCGCGCCATCTTTTCAGATCATATTCCGAATGTAATGGCCTATTGCAATATGTTATAGTGCAGTTTACAGCATGTTCGCAAACACGAGTACATGTTGATTATAAGACTCAACGTATGTGTATTGACTCACGGCACCCCCACTCCCCCTAAACGTAACTTGGAGGATATTTTGATTTCTAAGTGTTATTTAACGACCACGTTGCTGCTATAATACCGATTTGAAACATTACTTATACAGGGGGCAGCACTTATCGTGTTTACCATCAGCTGCAGGCGTGGGATGAGAATGACCTTATAGATCCGATAAGCTGGGGAATGGGGATGGAAGATGAACAATGGGGCGCATGTTCCAGTGACCACTCTTATGAGTACAGCTCCGAAAAAGCTCATTCAAAACATCAGTTGCAACTGTTTTATGTTTAAAGTCAGGTGGCAATGCTTGTTCATGCAGAAAAGCAGGAATACATTGTGGATCAACCTGCCTCAAATGTCAGCACAATTGCACCAATGTGCCAGCTGAGGACTCATAAATAAGACTCTTATCTAGTATATATGGTTATATAAAGTACTGCTTCGATTTTCCGATTAGTTTAATGAAAAGTTGTCAATTATTCGTGTTATGTAATTTTAAAATATTTTGATCGAAAATAATTATTATAATTTTTGAATATTTGTTTAATAATCGATTAACTAATTAATTAATTATTTAATCCAAAGGTTATCAGATAAAAAGATGTTCTCTTTTATGTTTTGAACACACTGGTTCAATCTAGAACCTTCTACGACATTCAGAAGTCGTTTTATTAGCGGAGATTCAATGTGGTAAAAAGTGGTAAATAGTGGTTATTCTTTACAAATTTCGAAAATTTTACAAGTCCAAAATATTGAAAGTGAAAATTTTCAAAAGTTTTATAAAAATTAGTTCATTATACGTGGAATGTAATTGTGAACATTTTTATCAAAATATATTTTTGAAATATTTGAAAATTTTGTAATTATTTAATTAATTAATTAAATAATTTATTTTTGAAAAAGTTGTTAAAGAGAAAGTTGTTCTTCTTTGTTTTCTAAACACACTGCTTTAAACTAAAATCTTCTAGGATATTCAGAACGTGACTTATTTGCGGAAAACCAAAGTGGTAAAAAGGTGGTAGAAAAGTGGTAATTGTGGATTTTCCTGAAGTCTTTTTTTTTGGGAATTCTCTGGAATGATTCCTGGGACCTGTCCCGAAAATATCCCGTTAAAATCG